AGGGGCTAAGGCCTCCCCGCGGGAGCGAGCGCCGAGTCGGCCGCTGAGAGCCTAAGCGCCCCGGTGACGCGCGGAGGAGCCGTGTGGGGCTCTTAGAGTTATGACAAGGTTCCAAAGGCCGTTGTGTCGCGCTAATAATTTCATTGAAAACGTTCGCACCGCGAGGGTCCGCCGCAACCGCGGCAGATATGCGCACGAGCAGTGTGTGTATGTGTGTGTGTGTATGTGTGTGTGTGCGTGTGTGCATAGTCTGACCGGACACGTCCGCGCTCTGCAGAAATATCACAGACAGTGCTGCAACGCTCTTTAGTTAGTAACAAGGAGCAAAACACACGCACATTGAGATGAAGAGAGGGGGTTAGAGAGAGGGGTGGCGGAGTACAGGGGGGAGAGAGAGGGGCGCGAAGGGGAGGGTGCGCAGGAGCCAGCCCAGTAAACCGCTTAGTGGGCTATTACTCGCCAGCCTCTGCCAGGAGTGAAATCATAATTTTAGCCCTCCTATCATAACGCTATTCTCTCTCTCTCTCTCTCACACACACACACACACACACACACTGACACCCACACAAACTGTGTCGCACAAACACACGCCCCCACTCACAGAGGAACTGGCTCGCGCAATGTGGATATGCGGTACAGATAGTAAGAACAAAACCGGGCATTGGCAATGGCACCCAGAAAAATGTTTTCTTGTTTCAAATACAAGCTAACACGAGATTAAATTTAATTCTGAAGGAAGGCAACATTGCCTTTGCCGGCATATTTTTCTCCTATTTGATGGATATCAGATTTCTTTCAAGAATCAAATACGATTTTGTGTCAGCATTTTACCTGAAACGACAAGAAAAATGTGCGTGGTACAAGATGTGCGTGTAGCCAATATTTTCAGCTCAAGCCAAGCTCAAGCACATGAGTCTATTTTTTCCACGACGAATGTCGAACACAAAGTGTTACTAATCCTACTTATAACATGACGTGGGCGTTAAACAGTTGTTACGTTAAACCTTCCGCTCAATGGGAGGTGGAAGCAAGCATGAAGTCCCTCGTGATGTAATTACGAAATTGTAACAACTCGGCCGATGGAGGACACCCGTCGCGCGGGGAGGCGATTCTGTCGTCCCAGTCGGTCCCGTACGTCGTGGGCCAGTTCTTCTTTTCATTTCTCCTTCTTCTTGTTTCTCAGAGCGACCTGCCCCCCCCCCTTTCTCTCTCATCGCTCATTGGGTCCCTCGGCACAGTATCTCCTGTTATCTCTCCTCCCTTTATTTGTCTGCCATTCTCTCCCTACGCCCCCTGCTTCTTGTTCCCGGGGCTTGCAGCAGCGCTCTCTCCTTTGACACCGAATATATACATTTTGAAAAGACATTATTATTCCCGTCCGCAGAAAGAAACGAGAGAGGGAGATAGATATAGAGAGAGGGAGCGAGCGAGAGAGAGAAGGGGTGGGGGAGAGGAGGGAGAGGGGCGGGAGAGAAACTCGGTAGAACAAAACGGTACACAACACACCCCCGCCCGTCTCAAACAGTTTGTTGTGAATCTTTCCTTTTTCTTTTATCCTGCGCCCCCTTCTCTCTCCATCTCCCCACCCCTCTCCAGCGTGCGTACTTTTGTGCGCCTCTTCCACTACTGCTGTTATTTGGTGATACACTGAACAGAGAGAAAGAGAGAGGAAAAGCGGGGAGGGAGAAGGACCCTTCCCACCCCTAGCCTCCCCTGCCTCCCCCACCCCTCGTCTCTAATTCCTCAAACAACTCATTTATTTGCCTCTCTGTTTGCGTCGCTCGCGCGCTGACTTTCGTCAAAAATCTTTGTACAGTCATCAAACAATTCCCCGCTCTCCGCGCCCAGCTCCGCCCTGCTGTAATTCTATAAAAACGTCCCCCCTTTTCCACATTTTGTTTTTTTTATTCCCCCTTTATGTATTTTTATTATTATTATTTTCTCTCCCTGTACATTTCAGTCCTCGGGCAGCCAGCAGCAGCGCTTTCTTTCTTCGTCGCCGCTTTGAGCTGTTGTTGTTCCCGTCCGTGTACACCTTGTCTCTGGTTCACTCGACGAGTTTCGCGGCCCAGCAGGCGGCGCGGCGCCCCACGGCAAAGATCTTTTAATTGTGTCATTCCTTTTCACAGTTGCACCCAAATAACGGAATAACAGTGTCCATTTTTTCCGCGAGAAACTAATATCGAACGATTCCGCTGTTTTTGATGGAAGGTGGTGGTGCGGACGTTTCACCATACTGCCAAAATTTAAAAGAAAAAAAAAAGGCACGGCTAGAATAAGAGAGAGAGAGTGAATGTGCGTGTGTGTGTTTGTAAAAGAGAGAAGCGGGGAGAGAGAGAGAGAGAGAGAGAGAGAGGGGGAGAGAGAGAAAAGTGTGTGAGTATGTGTGTTATCACGTTAAGTCAGCAGTGCGTGGTATCGAAATATGAGGCAGCCCCAGCGACAAATCGCACACAAACCGATACGCAGGGGCGCAACGCAATGTGTTGTTTCGCTCTGTCTCTGTCTCTCTCTGTCTCTCTTTCTCTCTCCAAGGTCGCTGCGCACCCCTCGCCACGCCCGCCCCCGTGCTGATTCTTTGATCGCCGTCACAGGGGGTGGCGGGGAGAGGTACGGGAGCGCCGGGGGTTGGGAGCGGAGCCGGGGACGAGGCTTCTGTTTGTCATTAGTCGTCATTCTCTTATTCAGTCATTATTCTAATTGATTTCATTCAGTCATTCACAACGCTATCACCAATAAGTCCTCCGCTGTCCCGGGTCCCCTCCGCTGCCCCGGTCCCCTCCCTTTGGGGTCCAGATTTATCTCTTTGTGTCCCCGTGCACCTTTTGAAAAGCCGATCTGTCCGGGGCGCGGCGGCTCGGCGCGGCCGGGGCTCGACCCGAAATATCAAAGTACAGGTGCCGCCCCACCCCGTTCGGCGGCGCTTCCCCAATTGGCAAATACAAAAGGGCGCCCGGAGGCTTTGGGACACACTGGCCCTGTATGAAAAGGGAGGAGAGGGAAACTGGGTCGCAGCAGCCACTGTGGGATTTGAGGGAGGGCGCGGTGCGGTGCGGTTAAGGGAGGAAAGGAGAGGGGGGGGGGGCGTAGGGATAATCGTACACGTTAGAAGCCATGAGAGTGAGAAGGGGGGTGCTTGGGGCGCGGGGGGGAGCGTGTGTGGGGGCGCATTAGTGGCGAGTTAGGCCCATCCCACACGACCACATCGATGGCGCAAAACGAAACGGCACAGCGAAAGACCCAAACGCGTTGTGGGAAAGGAAAATGGACTCTCGCAAGGAAACTTCACTGCAGAAAACGGAAACGGCGCTGAATAAAACGCACAATTTCAATCAATAAGGTGGTGCTCGAATAAAGGTGTAAAGTATCTGTTTAGGTACGTTTGCAAAGGTTAATGTAACTGAGCACATTTTGGCGCGGTGCAAAGGAATTGAAAAGTCTTCGGTATTCATCTGGAAAGAGCCGACGAAAGAATGACATATTGTCGTCTGAAATGAATTCTTTTCAACATTTCCGTGTTTTAAAAACTAAAGCAAAGAGGGTTACTTTATATGTGGTGGCGGCATTCAAGGCCACTCGCTGGGCATTCCCCCCGAGTTCCCCTAAAAACATTTTGTTCCCCGCCCCGCCCCCGCCCGCCTGGCTGATGGAAATTTCAATCTCTGCGCCCATAAACGAAATTTCCGGTCCGCTTGTCTGCTTGCGTCGGCCAACCGACCGACCCCGGCGTCTGTCCGGGCACGGGGCGGGCCGCCATTGTGCCGGGAGTACTTATGTAAACGATAATGGAAGAAAACGGCAGGGCGGGCCCGAGTCGGACGGGGCCTCTTAGAGGATTAGCCGCGCGGGAAACTTCAAACGTATCGCATCTATTTGGCCCGATGTAACCCCCCAGCCACCCCAACCCCTCCCTCACACCAGGCTCTCTCTCTCCATCTCCATCCCCGCGAGCCTTACGCGGAGCCCTACGAGTCCAGAGGTGGGCCCTTCCAGATGCCGCCACCCGGTTCGGCCCCGCCCACCCCCGGTCCAGATCCTCATTTCCGTCTCCTCCCCCAGCAGGCCCGAGAGTCCTGCTCCGTCCTCCAGCCGAACCCTTACCTAATCGAGTCCGCTGTCTGTGATGTCCATATTGCGAACCCCGGCTTTGCAAATTGACGACAATGAAGACCGGAGGAGAGAGAGATGGGGGGAGAGGGGTGATGAGGAGAGAGGCTTGCTGCGGCAGCTCCTCGACACGAAATTTGTCGGAATGGCTGGAGCGCCGCCTGGTCGGCCACACCGACGCGAGCGGCGTGCCCCGCGCTGCCCGCTGGCCGGCCTGAGAGTGGCGGTCTCCGGGCCTGAATGGGCTTCTGATTTCCTTTGTGTGGCCGCGCGGGGGCCTGCGGGGTCCGCCTGGAGCTGGCTCGCGCGCTGCCCGCCGCTCTCCGGGCCCGCCCGGCTGGAGTGACGGGGCACTGACGCCGCGTTGTTTTGGTTCTGAATTACTTTTTATTTGTGTTTTTCTACGGTAAATTGAGGGGGAGGGGAGGAGAGGGGGGATGAAGTGGGT